CTCTTTTTCAAGGACAGCTGTGCCAGAGCTTGTGACTGACCCAAGGTCACATCAGCAGGTGCAAGTGGAGGAGTGGGGAATCAAACCCGGTTCTCCCAGATTAGAGTCCGCGCACTTAACCACTACACCAAACTGGAGTACGACCATACTAGTTTTTATTAGCTCAGTGCGAGTGAGGAGTGATGAATTAGTTTTCTACTTTTTAGGATTGACTAGGACTGTAGGCGGAAACTTGTCTCCAACTGTTGGATGCCATGCTACACTATGAGATGGAAATATTTAGCAAGTAGGTTTAAGAAGAAGAGGAGTAGGTTTTTGTACCCTGCTTTTCTCTACTTTAACGAGTCTCAAAGTGGCTTGCCATTCCCTTTCCCTTCCTCTCCCCACAACAGGCCCTCCCCCCTGGTGGGGAGGGTGAGATAGAAATCAAATCAATTAACGAAATAGGTGGGGCCGAGAGACTTCTGACAGAACTCTGACTGGCCCAAAGTCACCCACCTGACTTCATGTGGAGGAGGAGTGGGGAATCGAACCCGGTTCTCCAGATTGCAGTCTGCCATTCTTAACCACTTCCCTAGACTGGCTCCAGTCATTTGCACACTGACCCTTACTGATCCGGTCTCATATGTTTACCATTCCTCCCCCCCGCAGGCAGCTCATATCATTGTATACGATGTCACAAAATCCAAACGTGGACGATTTGAAAATAAGCCATCCGGTGCCTCTTCCTCCACTGTGGGTGCGGTGTGATGGCACGGACCACCGACAAACTATCTGGCTAGGGGCTGAGCCCCTCTCCACTGGAAGCCACGTCACTGGGATCACTCTGCATACAGTTATCAGCAGTGGTAAGGAGTTCTCTGGCAGGAGCCCCTCCCAGCAAAATTTCCTTCTCAGATCTGAATAAGAACATTAGAGAAGCCCATGTTGGATCAGGCCAATGGCCCATCCAGTCCAACACTCTGTGTCACGCAGTGGCCAAAACCCAGGTGCCATCAGGAGGTCCAGCAGTGGGGCCAGGACACTAGAAGCCCTCCCACTGTTGCCCCCCCCCAAGCACCAAGAATACAGAGCATCCCTTGCCCCAGACCGAGAGTTCCTATCTATACCTTGTGGCTAATAACTCCTGGTGGATCTCTGCTCCATATGTTTATCCAATCCCCTCTTGAAGCTGTCTGTGCTTGTAACCACAAGAACATAACAGAAGCCTTGTTGGATGAGGCCAATGGCCCATCCAGTCCAACATTCTGTGTCACACAGTGGCCAAAACCCAGGTGCCATCAGGAGGTCCACTAGTGGGGCCAGGACACTAGAAGCCCTCCCACTCTTGCCCCCCCCCCCCCAAGCACCAAGAAGACAGAGCATCACTTGCCCCAGACCGAGGGTTCCTATAAGAACACAAGAGAAGCCACTGTTGGATCACGCCAGTGGCCCATCCAGTCCAACACTCTGTGTCACGCAGTGGCCAAAAACACCAGGTGCCATCAGAGAGTCCAGCAATGGGGCCAGAACTCCAGAAGCCCCCCCGCTGTCCCCCCCCCCGCAAACACCAAGAATGCAGAGCACCCCTTGCCCCAGATTGAGAGTTCCTATAAGAACATAAGAGAAGCCCATCTTGGATCAGGCCAATGGCCCATCCAGTCCGACACACAGTGGCCAAAAATACCAGGTGCCATCAGGAGGTCCAGCAGTGGGGCCAGGGCTCCAGAACCCCTCCTGCTGTCCCCCCCCCCCCGCAAGCACCAAGAATACAGAGCATCACTTGCCCCATATTGAGAGTTCCTATAAGAACACAAGAGAAGGCCATGTTGCATCAGGCCAATGGCCCATCCAGTCCAACACTCTGTCACACAGTGGCCAAAAACACCAGGTGCCACCAGGAGGTCCCCCAGTGGGGCCAATACAGTAGAAGCCCCCCCCCTGTTGCCCCCCCCCCCCAAGCACCAAGAAGACAGAGCATCACTTGCCACAGACTGAGAGTTCCTGTCTATACCTTGTGGCTAATAGCCACTGATGGACCTCTGCTTCATATGTTTCTCCAATTCCCTCTTGAAGCCGCCCATGCTTGTAGCCGCTGCCACCTCCTGTGGCAGTGAATTCCGTGTGTTAATCACTCTTTGGGTGAAGAAGGACTTCCTTTTATCCGTCCAACCCGACTGCTCAGCAATTTCACAGAGTGCCCACGAGTTCTTGTATTGTGAGAAAGGGAGAGAAGTACCTCTTTCTCCACCTGTTCTGTCCCATGCATAATCTTATAAACCTCGATCATGTCACCCCTCAGCTGTCGTTTCTCCGAGCTAAAAAGCCCCAAGCGCTTTAACCTTTCTTCATAGGGAAAGTGTTGCAACCTTTTGATCATTCTAGTTGCCCTTTTCTGCACTTTTCCCAATGCTATAATATCTTTTTTGAGGTATTCAAGGTGGGTCACCATGTTGGTGCGTCTGTAGCAGAAGAAAAGAGCCAGCGTCCAGGAGCACCTTAAAGACTAACAAAATTTGTGGCAGGGGAGGAGCTTTCGTGCATCACTGCTCACTTCTGCATATACGAAGTGCTCTGAAGTATTTCCAGTCTCCTCGGTTTTACTGTTAGCAAGAGGGGCGGTATGGGATCCATTCCTACCAGAACCTTCTCACAAGGGTGTCCGAACTGTCCCATAAGCAAAGCCCGAGGGAAACATACTCTTCATGCCAGTTGTGATCTTCCCTGCTAACTTCCAGTTATCTCTTTCATAGGCCCGTTGCCAAATAAAAACTGTTCTGCGGATTTGAAAGAACTGAAAGAGAGCCACAGAAGAAGACATGGCTGTTCTGGGGTATGTTTCTCTTTGTGTCTTGTTCACCTGTAAGCCTGTCCGTAGGGCTGGAAGAATCCCAAGTGCCCAGTTGCCCTGGCTCCTAGAACTGATGCTAGAGCTAAAAGCAGAGTCCACAGTAGGCCTGGTCCTTAACAGTGCCATCTTAAGCAGAGTCACGCCTTCCTAGGTCTGTTGGTATCAGTGAACTCCGAAGGGCATAACTCTGCTTAGATATCTGAAGAGGTGAGCAGCGACCAGTGTTCCCTCTAAGCTGAGTTAGTGTGAGCTAGCTCACAGTTTTTTTGCCTACAGCTCACGCATTTTTGTATTAGCTCAGGAGAGGTGGCTCCAGAGCAAACTAATGTATGCAGTAGCCAAATGGCTCGCTCACAACTTTAATGCCAGTAGCTCACAAAGTAGAAGTTTTGCTACAAGACTCCACAGCTTAGAGGGAAAATTGGCAGCGACTCACGCAAGCTCCTCCCCTGCCACACATTTTGTTAGTCTTTAAGGTGCTCCTGGACTCTTTCTCTTTTCTCCAGCTACAAACAGACTAACACGCGCAATGCTCCCTCTAAGCTGTGGAGTCTTGTGAGCAAAAATTCTACTCTGTGAACTGCTGGCCTTAAAGTTGTGAGCGAGCGATTGGGCTGCTGCATCAATCAGTTTGCTCTGGGGCCCTCCTTCCTGAGCTAAGACAGAAATGTGTGAGCCGGAGGCTAAAGAACTGTGAGCTAGCTCACACTAACTCAGCTTAGAGGGAGCACTGCGGGGCTACCCATCTTGAGCTAGCTGCTTTGGACCGTACTGTAAATCTGGGTCTGGTGTGCGATAATTCCAGTGCCCTGATAAGTCATTCCACAATTAAAAATGCATTTTTAGGGGATTGATGTGATGTCGGATTTTTATATTGTTCTAATCCTTTGTTCATTGTAGCTGAGGACGAAAGGCTTTGCCTCTTACAAGTTCTTTGAAGGCACCTTGCTGGACTCCTGCTCCCTGGAGGACACCTCTGCTCCACTGGAGAGAAATATAAATGTTGAGTTTGCTTGGAACGATGTGACGAAGATTCTGCAGCTCCCTCCGCCCACTTGTGCCGTTACTCTGGTAGGGAGAACAATCTTTGCCATTTCAGCGTTGTTACAGAACCAGAGTACTGAAGGTAAAAGGTAAAGGTTCCCTTGCTCGAAAGCCAGTCGAATCCGACTCTAAGGTTGCGGTGCTCATCTCAGTTTCCAAGCCGAAGAGCCAGCGCTGTCCGAAGACGTTTCCGTGGTCACGTGGCCGGCATGACTAAACACCAAGGCGCACGGAACGCTGTTACTGCTGAACTGCTAGTACTGAAACTGTGGCGTTAATTGTGGAACAAAGCAAGGATACGTGCATGGGCCCATGTATCTTCGAGACCGCTTCTTGCCATGCGAACCCCGCAGAACATTGCGTTCTGCAAACCAGCATCTCCTGGTAGTCCCTGGCCCCAAGGATGTCTGAGTTGCCTCAACTAGGGCCAGGGCTTTTTCGTCCCTGGCCCCCACCTGGTGGAATGTACAAGATCAGGGCCCTGCAGGACCTGTTACAGTTCCGCAGGGCCTGTAAGACGGAGCTCTTCCGCCAGCCTTTCAGCTGAGGCAGTGGGTCACCCGATACGGCCTCCCCTCCAGGGACCGCAGATTCTACGTTGCTGGAATCAACATCATCTGTCGAGACATATTAGATAGCTAGGACTAGATTGCTTTCGGTTTTAAATTTTAATTGATTTGTGTGTTTTAAATTTTAATTGTAAATGTGCAGATCAGTGCGTTTGGAACCTGCTCTGTGCCTGCTTTGTGGGGAGGGCAAGCTATACATTTAATAAAATAAATTAATTAATTTGCTTGTCCGTAAAACAGGAACAAAAACAGACCCTTTTAAACCCGGTTCATGTAGACCGATTTTCCTGTTGAGCATTGATTCCCTCCCCCCCCCCCCCCCGAACATTGATTATAAAATGGTTTGGGCCAGCAGGTTCAGTTTAATTATGTCCAAATAGAAGCGGATGTTGTGATGACCGCTTGCACAGGTAAATTTAAAAGGAGAGTAGACAGATTCACAGGGGATCGTGGAAGATGCCCAGGTTATCAGTGACTACTTGCCAAGGTAACTGAAAGGAACCTGAATAAAATCTGTCACTGGTAAAGGAATACAATACTGAATCTTTTTACTGTGGCCAAATTGATCATGGCATAACTTTAAGACCTTGTATTTAAACACAGACAGACAGTCTGATGGCTGGAAAAGTTGATTGAACCGAACTGGGTTAGGGCTTCTGAGAGAAAGAAGGCAAATTACACCTTTTTTTTTTTTTTTGCAAATTGCTGGAACCCTTTCTTCGACTTTGTAAATAGAAACAGGTTAACTATTGATAGATGTAATTGCTCTTGTCTGTTTATGGTAGATTATATGTACTGTGTTTCGATATGTTTAGCATCGTAAAGAGAGTGAATTGGTTAATTTATATTAAAATTAATAGCACAGTTCTTTGCATATTTGATTATATAATTACAAGCTGTATTCACTGGTAAACTTAGTTTATTCGCCTTCATTGGGCTCTATCAGTTTCTTATTCCACCTGAGTCTGTGTCTTTGTATTTTTGGAACTTCCAGAAGCTTCAGATGGCTTGCGGGGCCCCTTTGAGTTCTGTGTATGAGGTCAGCAGAGAGCTGCAGTCCCTTCTCGTAAGTATTTGTTGCCCACGCCGCAGCTAAGAGGTTTGTGTGCTTTAATCTACTGTGACACTAATGCCAGTAGAAACCTTCCAAATGAAACAGGCGCTCTTAAACAGGTTCATGGTTTCAGACTAGCACACGTGTGTGAGGAAAAGAAAGCTATGCAATTTTGCGTGCTCCGCGTTCAGTGGGCATCACAGTGGTACTTTTCTTTGTTTGATTCAAGTTTGATTTAGTTTCTCAGATGCACAAAGGGCGACTTCGCATTGCCTTTTCCCTCCGTTGTTATACGAAACCCATGTTGGAACAGAAATCCCCCTCTGCACTGCATGCCACTTTCATTTTCTTTGATCATCGGGTTTTTATGGTACCCTCTACACTGCATGCCGCTTTCACTTTCTTTGATCATCAGGTTTTTATGGTACCCTCTACACTGCATGCCGCTTTCACTTTCTTTGATCATCAGGTTTTTATGGTACCCTCTACACTGCATGCCGCTTTCACTTTCTTTGATCATCAGGTTTTTATGGTACCCTCTACACTGCATGCCGCTTTCACTTTCTGTGATCATCGGGTTTTATGGTACCTTCTGCATAGAATAATGGCCATTCAGGGGTGACTTTGTAGTTAGTACAGTGTTGGCCCGGTTTGCTGTAGTGGTTAAGTGCGCGGACTCTAATCTGGGAGAACTGGGTTTGATTCCCCACTCCTCCACGTGCACCTGCTGGATGACCTTGGGCAAGCCATTGTTCTGATAAGAGCTGTTCTTGAAAAAAGAGCAGTTTCTGTCAGAGCTCTCTCAGCCCCACCTGCCTCACAGGGTGTCTGTTGTGGGGAGGGGAAGGGAAAGGAGTTTGTAAGCCACTCTGAGACACCTTTGGGTAGTGAAGGGCAGGGTATAAATCCAATCCCTTCTTCTTCTCCTCTCTAATCAGTGTTCTCTGAGAGCCAGTTTGGTGTAGTGGTTAAGTGTGCGGACTCTAATCTGGGAGAACCGGGTTTGATTCCGCACTCCTCCACTTGCAGCTGCTGGATGACCTTGGGCAAGCCGAAGTTCTGTCAGAGCTGTTCTTGAAAAAGAGCCGTTTCTGTCAGAGCTCTCTCAGCCCCACCCGCCTCACAGGGTGTCTGTTGTAGGGAGGGGAAGGGAAAGGAGTTCGTAAGCCGCTCTGAGACACCTTTGGGTAGTGAAGGGTGGGGTATAAATCCAATCTCTTCTTCTTCTTCTTCTATTTGAATGTGGTTTTGAGCTGCACCTTTTCCTCAGTGTTGAGAAAATGTGGAGCAAATGCCAGAGGCAGAATCGCCCAAGGCATCAGTGCTTCCCTTCATAATTCCATCAGAGATCTCCCAGAGTAGCCGTACTACAGCAGTCGTATGGAACGGACATCCGAAATGCAAGGGGGCAGAACTTATTTTAGAAATGTAACTGCGTTATCAAGACCGAAATAAAGATTATGGTTTCTTATCACAATGTAAGAGTAATACTGTCTTTGAACCCTTGATTTCCCCATGTATAATCTTGTTAGTAAGTGCCCCATTAAAAATGTTTGCATAAACATTCCCCTAACTGATTTCCCTTAAGTGTGCGGCTCACTGTTCCACTGGCTTCTGAAGCTGGTAATACTTGTGCTCTCTCCACGTTTGAAAAAAAAATTGCAGTCAGTTTCAAAGATACAAGTGGTTCTTCTGAAATTATAAAACTAAACCGATAGGTGTGTGTATTAATTGCTTCCTGTTTATGGCGACCCAATGAGTTAAGGACCTCTGAAAGTTCTGTTGTTATAACCTGTACATAACCTGTGTTTTTTTCTGGGGCTCGTAGGCCTTGGCCAGGGGCTTGAAGACTGGCGTGACGGAGTGGAGGAAGCCTTCAGGAGGGAAATCGGCTGTTGAACTGGTCCAGAAACTTTTGAAAGGTAATTTTCGTTTAATAATTTGAAGCGGTAGTGTTGTGAATAGAATTGCCCTGCACGGCTTTAAAAAGTGCAGAGTTTTCCCTGGTAGCTGGGTTTGGTGAAGAAGAAGAAGAGGAGACTGGATTTATGCCCCGCCCTTCACTACCCAAAGGTGTCTCAGAGCGGCTTACAATCTCCTTTCCCTTCCCCTCCCCACAACAGGCACCCCGTGAGGCAGGTGGGGCTGAGAGAGCTCTGACAGAAACTGCCCTTTTTCATGGACAGCTGTGCCAGAACTATGGCTTGCCCCAGACCATCCAGCAGGTGCACGTGGAGGAGTGGGGAATCAAACCCGGTTCTCCCAGATTAGAGTCCGCGCACTTAGCCACTGCACCAAAAGGCCTGTTCCAACCAAAGCTTTGGAGTAGGGCAAAATTGTTCTTGTTCCGTGCATGTGCCGTTCTTGCTTCCTGCCTCGCCATAGTGCTGTGATGTCTCCTTGTCTCCCCTTGTAGGTCTAAAGGACGAAGCAAATGAATTAATGACGCCAAACAATAATGAGGTATGTGGAGCTGTAAAACCAGCCTCTCACTGCATTTTATCCTGCAGTCTTTTCTTTTCTTTTTAAAAAATATTTCTTTATTATAATCATAAGACATACAAGGAGCTGCGGTGGCTCAAGTGGTTAAGACGCTGAACTGCAGGCTGTGGAAGGTCGGTAGTTCAGCAGTTCGAGAACCGAGTGTGCTGCATGACGGAGTGAGCTCCCGTCTCTAGTTCCAGCTCCTGCCAACCTAGCAGTTCGAAAGCAAGACATTGCAAGTAGATAAATAGGTACCACTTTGGTGGGAAGGTAACAGCGTTCCGTGCGCCTTGGTGTTTAGTCATGCTGGCCACATGACCATGGAAACGTCTTCGGACAGCGCTGGCTCTTCGGCTTTGAAACGGAGATGAGCACCGCAACCCTAGAGTCGGTCTCGACTGGCTTTTGAGCAAGGGAATCTTTACCTTTAAGACATACAAACATAGATAAAAGCGTGGGGGGAAATTACATGTCTTAACACATGTTTTGCCTTATTAATGTTGAGTAAGAATACTATTTGCTAAGTATTGGAAGAGAACAGAATTACTACCCAGAAGAGAAACCATTAACAAAATGCTGGAAATAGCAGAAATGGATAAATTGTCTTTATTTTTGAAAAACCAAACGGAGGACATATTTGAGAATACATGGTCAAAATTCTATATTTGGTTGGAAAACTATGACAAGTCAAAAATTACGTTCAACTAGAACTTGAGGAAACATACTTATAAAGTCTTATTAACCTGTAAAAAAGAGATGCTACCGGAACGGTTTATTAGCGTGTAACCTGTAGTCTTTTCAAAAGGTGATCTGTGAATGTGTTCCCTTGCCTTTAATGTTGGGTCCTTTTAAGGTTTCTGTCTTCAGTGTTCGCTGCAGTGAGGGTTCACAGGACCAGAAAATGTTCCTGTAATGGCATCAAGTTCTTGAATAGCACAGACCTGGAACATCAGACCAACACTGATGTGCTTGTGCTAGTAGCTCTGTCTAACCTGCACCAGCTGCTCCTTTGCATGTCTAAACGTAGAAATGTGCCAAGTCTAGAGGTGCATCCTTAATGTTACAATTACGTTTTATGCTGAAATCATTTTCCCTTCTTCTCAGAGTCTCCGGAATGACACCGCTACAGTTTCTTGCTCCATAAAAACAGGTTTTAGTAGCAGAGAAGATCTGGATTTTGTTGAGCAGCTCTGGTGCGAACTATGGAAAAGTATGCACACATTTTTTAATTGTTCACATTCAGATGTCTTTATTTTAAGATTTGCAACCCATCCTGAGAATGCTTGAAGGATTGTGCAATGTCGTCTTAAAATTAGTTGCTGTAGATTTTCCGGGTTGTACAGCCATGGTCTTGGCATTGTAGGACCCGACGTTTCGCCAGCAGCTGTGACTGGCATCCTCAGAGGTATGACGCAGAAAGACGGAGTATTCTCTGTGCCAAGTTGAGAAGAAAAATGGTAGGCAGGTAATTTATATCTACTCAGGAAGGTGGGGTAGGGCTTTATCCTAACAGATAATGACTCAGCCCTACCCCACCTTCCTGAGTAGATAGAAGTTACCTGCCTACCATTTTTCTTCTCAACTTGGCACAGAGAATACTCCGTCTTTCTGCGTCATACCTCTGAGGATGCCAGTCACAGCTGCTGGCGAAACGTCAGGTCCTACAATGCCAAGACCCACGGCCACACAACCCGGAATATCTACAGCAGCTAATGAACTCTGGCCGTGAAAGCCTTCGACAACATATTGTCTTAAAATTATTTTCTGAATTTCTTGAACTGATCTGCTAAAGGATTTAGTGAAATGGGTAACTTCTCCCTCCCTAAGGTGTTACATCCTATGAGGAACTGGTGAAGTGTTTCAAGCTGATATTGGAGGGATTGCATTGTGGTGAACTGCAAGCATCGGTATGTATACATTGTGGCCAGAACGGCCACATCTTGGTGTTGAGAGACTTGACAAATCAGGTGCCGCCGACAGAAAACGCTCCTTGTGTTCTAAGGAAAGCTCACTGAGTTTTACTACAGAGGATTTATAAGCGTTCAGCCTTTGTGTGCTTAAAACTTCCCAATGGGTTGATTGGTGGGGCTCTTAAAGGTTAGCCGTGCAACCTATAAGAAACTTTGAACGTTGTGATTTGTTGTTGATTAAAAGAGGGAATATGGAGGCCGACCTGGGCTGTTCCCAGCAATGGAGATGTTAACGTTGAACCTCCCTCAAACTTGTGAGGTCTGATTGGTGCAAAAATGCAGCTAAGGAAAGGATATAAGCTCCACCTGGTGAGGGTTTGGCAGTATAAGTGAGTTTTAATCATAGCTTAATATTAGAAAAGAGCAAGAGTCCAGGAGCACCTTAAAGACTAACAAAATTCGTGGCAGGGGAGGAGCTTTTGTGAGTCACTGCCAATGTTCCCTCTGAGCTGAGTTAGTGTGAGCTGGCACACAGCTTTTTAGCCTCCAGTTCACAATTTTTTTACTTCGCTCAGGAAGGAGGGCTCCACAGCAAACTAATTTATGCAGAAGCCAAATTGCTCGCTCACAACTTTAATGCCCAGTAATTCACAAAGCAGAATTTTTGCTCACAAGACTCCACAGCTTAGAGGGAGCATTGGGCTCACAAAAGCTCCTCCCCTGCCACAAATTTTGTTACACTTTAAGGTGCTATGGGACTCTTGCTCTTTTCTACTGCTACAGACAGACTTAAACTCAGCTACCCATCTAGAAAAAGCTTAATATAGTTTCAAGTTTAGTTTATTGTCTTAGCCATTGGCCATAACAACACAAAATAAATCAAAGCACAACAAACATTATACGTCAATAACTTGCAGTAAGTCCTAAACCCAGTCTTATCTTTTTTGCCGCCAGTGCAAACAGAGCCATTCTGCTAGTAACATGTGCATAAATATCAGAGAGCAAGAAAACGGTCAAATCCTGCTCTGAGATTCCATTATACAGAGGTACAATAGGATAAATAAACCTTTGGCTAAGTGATTCGTGCCATGAACATCTCAGAATGTAATGCTTGACATCATCCACTTCACCCATACCACATTGGCATATTCTAGAGGTGGCAGGGGAGCTTAATGTATTAGCTATTTAAATAGATAGATGATAGATATATAATCTCAAGGAATAACATTTAATATATTTTTTAGATTCGCCGTGTGTTTTAGTTATATAATTAGAGCAGTCTTTTTCAATATTGTGAAGCAGCTGATTGGTGTAACCTTTAGAAACAGATGTATCTGGTGCTGTAATTGTGTTATTTCAAGAAACGTTATCTTTCTGTAGATTCACAAAGGAAGTAATGCCTTACTGCGCAAACTAATTGAAGACTATCACCGTGGATGTACGGAGACGGTTTCTCTGAGTGGTGACACTCCCATTCAAATGCTTCTAGAGATTGGTTTGGATAAAATGAAGAGAGATTATGTCGACTATTTTATAGGTAAGCCTTTGTTTTGGAACAAGAAGAAGAGACTGGATTTATACCCTGCCCTTCACTACCCAAAGGTGTCTCAGAGCGGCTTACAAACTCCTTTCCCTTCCCCTCCCCACAACAGACACCCTGGGAGGTAGGTGGGGCTGAGAGAGCTCTAACAGAAACTGCTCTTTTTAAAGTACAGCTCTTATCAGAACTCCGGCTTGGCCAAGGTCATCCAGCCAGCTGCAAGTGGAGGAGTGGGGAATCAAACCCGGTTCTCCCAGATTAGAGTCCGCGCACTTAACCACTACACCAAACTGGCTACACCAAACAACGAGGACCTATTGGTGGCTTTACGAAGCGATCTGTTTCATTCACTCTCTCTGTTTATAAACAGGTTCTGGATGTATCATCAAGGTCAACTTAAATTTCTGACTAGCAAGATACTCTTTCAAGTCTGATTCGCATGCTAAACTCTCCCTATAAGTATTGCTTTCATATGTAAATTAACAGTTTTTTCCCCTGGGCCAGTTTTCTCAGCTGAAGTTGCCAGACTCATTTTAAAGGGTTCTTTGCATCCCCATTCCCACAAAACAGAAACTAAAGCTGTGCTGTGGCAGATTTACAAGAAGTTTGGACAGAGGTCCCCAAATTCTTTTGCCCCTGCGGGCACTTTTGGAATTCTGACACAGCTCGGTGGGCGCAGCCACAAAACGGTCGTCATAAAATGGCTGCCACAGCTCACCTTCCGTCACACGGCGAAGATCCTTGTGCTGTGGTGGCAGCTGCTGCCCAAGTAGTGTTTTTCAAAACCTACACAGCCAATCGAATGTCCAGTGGTCCATCAGAAACCTTGCTGGGGAAAAGCCCCGCCCACTTTTGGTGTAGTGGTTAAGTGCGCAGACTCTAATCTGGGAGAACCGGGTTTGATTCCCCACTCCTGCACATGCAGCTGCTGGTGTGACCCTGGGTCAGTCACAAGTTCTCTCGGAGCTGTCCTTGAAAGAGCCGTTTCTGTCAGAGCTCTCTCAGCCCCACCTACCTCCCAGGCAGTGTTCCCTCTAAGCTGAGTTAGCGTGAGCTAGCTCACAGTTTTTCAGCCTCTGGCTCACACATTTTTGCCTTCGCTCAGGAAGGATGGCTCCAGAGCAAGCTAATTTATGCAGCAGACAAATCACCTGCTCACAACTTTAATGCCAGTAGCTCAAAAAGTAGAATTTTTGCACACAAGACTCCGCAGCTTAGAGGGAACATTGCTCCCAGGGTGTCTGTTGTGGGGAGGGGAAGGGAAAGGAGTTTGTAAGCTGCTCTGAGACTCCTTTGGGTAGTGCAGGGCGGGGTATAAATCCAGTCTCTTCTTCCACTATCCCAAAGGTTTACGATGCCCTGATCTTATCACATTCCTGAGCCTCAGAGGAGGAGGCAATTTGGTGTAGTAGAGCCAGTTTGGTGTAGTGGTGAAGTGCGCGGACTCTGGGAGAACCAGGTTTGATACCCCCACTCCTCCACTTGCACCTGGCTGGATGACCTTGGGCAAGCCGTAGTTCTGATAAGAGCTGTCCTTGAAAAAGAGCAGTTTCTCTCAAGAGCTCTCTCAGCCCCACCCACCTCCCAGGGTGTTTGTTGTGGGGAGGGGAAGGGAAAGGAGTTTCTAAGCTGCTCTGAGACTCCGAGTGAAGGGCGGGGTATAACTCCAATCTCTTCTCTTCTTCTCTTCTCTCTAAAAACACTTGGTGAGCACCAGGAAAGGTGTCAGTGGGTTACCATAATTTGGAGACCCCTGAGCTTGGACATGCCTCTCCCCTACTGAAGAGTTTTTTCCATTTTTTCCCATTGATCTTGAGCTCTTTGCAGGGCAGATGTGGAGGGTTTCCATGGACCCTCCCTTATGGGTCAGTTTATAAAGTAAAGCTGGAACTGCAGCTTCCAGCGCTCGGACATTATGAACAAAGCTGTGTTTAGAGCCAGTTTGATGTCGTGGTTACGAGTGCGGACTCTAATCGGGGAGAACCGGGTTAGATTCCCCACTCCTCCTCCACAGGCAGTTGCTGGTGTGACCTTGGGTCAGTGGCAAGTTCTCTCAGAGCTGTTCTCTCAAGAGCAGTAATTGAAAGAGCTGTCTCAGCCCCACCTACTTCACAGGCAGTGTTCTCTCTAAGATGAGTTAGTGTGAGCTAGCTCACAGTTTTTAGCGTCCAGCTCACAGATTGTTGTCTTCGCTCAGGAAGGATGGCTCCAGAGCAAACCCCATGGACGAGCTCTCTCCAGGCCTTCCGGTCTTCTGCCGTCCTCTGAAGTTGGCTCAACTTCCTGTTCGTTGCATCTATGACACTGTCTAACCCTCTCATCCTTTGCCGTCCCCGTCTTCTTTGACCTTCAGTCTTTCCCAGCATCAGGGTCTTCTCCAGTGAGTGCTCCCTTCTCATTGGGTGGCCAAAGTATTTGAGCTTCAGTTTCATTATCTGGCCTTCCAGGGAACAGTCAGGGTTGATTTCTTTCAGGATTGACTGATTTGATCTTCTTGCAGTCCAAGGGACTCTCAAGAGTCTTCTCTCCAGCACCACAGTTCAAAAGAATCTATTCTTCGGCGCTCGGCCTTCCTTATAGTGAAGGGCGGGGTACAAATCCAGTCTCTTCTTATTATTTGATGGGCTTGCACCTGACTGATGAGAGTCCGCATGTGCTTTCTCTGCCTCCTCCTTGCAAAGTCCACAGTCTTGAGTCCAGTGTGTCATGTTGTCTGAATTGAGGTGCCTGAACAAACTGGAGATGTGTTCAGAATTGCGGTTTGTGGGGAAGAAGTAATGTCCAGGTGTCTGCATTTGGATATATACCACAATAAAGTATGAAGACTTCCAAATCCAGTATGGTGTAGTGGTTAAGAGGGTCAGACGAGTACCTGGGAGTCCCAGGTTCAAATCCCTGCTTGTGCTGTGGAAGCCGGCTGGGTGACCTTGGGTCAGTCACACACTCTCAGCCTAAGCTACCTCACAGGGTTGTTGTGAGAATAAAATGGAGAGGCGAATGATGTCAGCCACTTTGGGTCCCCACTGGGGTAAAAGGGCAGGGTGGAAACGAATTAAATAAATCCAGGGAGTCTTCAGCTGTGCTTCGCGTGTGAGGGCTTGGGGGGGGAGCCCGAGAACACAGTGGCTAAATGAACGGAAAAGGGTTTGGGACATCTTAACAGAGCAATTTTTCATTACAAAGTTCACCAGAAAAAAAGGTTGTTTTGGCGTAGTGGTTAGGAGCACAGACTCTACATCTGGGAGAACCGGGTTTGATTCCCCACTCCTCCACATGCAGCCAGCTGAGTGACATTGCGTCAGTCACAGGTTCTCTCAGAGCTGTTCTCTCGCGAGCAGTCCTCAAAAGAGCTCTCTCAGCCCCACCCACCTCACAGGGTGTCTGTTGTGGGGAGGGGAAGGAGATTGTAAACCACTCTGAGTCTCCTCCAGGTAGTGAAGGGCAGGGTATAAATCCAATCTCTTCTTCTTAAGAGTGGGGGACCCTAATCTAGAGAACCCAGTTTGATTCCCCCACTTCTCCACATACAGCTGCTGGTTTGGCCTTGGGTCAGTCACAAGTTCTCTCAGAGCTGTTCTCTGAAGGGGAGTCCTCAAAACAGCTCTCTCAGCCCCACCTACCTCACAGGGTGTCTGTTGCGGGGAGGGGAAGGGAAAGGAGTTTGTAAGCCGCTCTGAGACTCTTGAGTGAAGAGTGGGGTATAAATCCAATCTCTTCTTCTTCCTCCACTAAGCACTAACATGCAAATTAGAATTGTGTTTTGTTTTTCAGGCAAGCAACTCGCTCTACATTCTGATCTGGTAAGATGCTTCATTTCCCCCCCCTTCCAAACTATAAGTGTCATAGCTGTTGGGAAGATAAAGACTTTGTGGTAGTGTTAGGTATTCCGATGACCTTGTTGTTCAAACCAGCTCCTTGAATCCTACTCTGACTTTTTGTGTTTTTTAAGGGCTATTCGTTCTTGTGCTTTGACATTCTTTCCCTCTCTCCCTCTCTCAGGACTATTTCATGTCCACCTCAGTCGATCTGCAGGAGCAGGTCCGTCGTGTTCAGAAACTCCATCACGTGCTGGAAATAGCGGACACCTGCATGGATCTTCTTAAACTTGATCATTTGAACCTCGTCGTCTTGACACAGTAATCTTGAGCCAGAAAATCCTTTTTTTTTTTTAATGGCAAGAACAAGCAGATTCTCTGTGGGGGTCAGACAGTGTGTCGAAAGCAAGAGGAGACCTCTGCTCTATATAAAGTTTTCTAAATGAAATGGGGGATGGTCCCTGTGAGCCAAGCATTGGTGCGGATCCCGGTTTTCTCTTTCCCAATTAACTGAATGTGTGGCATTCACACTTAAGAACATAAGAGAAGGCAACGTTGGATCAGGCCAGTGGCCCATCCAGGCCAACACTCTGTGTCACACAGTGGCCAAAAGTACCAGGGGCCATCAGGAGGTACAGCAGTGGGGCCAGGACACTAGAAGCCCCTCCCACTGTTGCCCCCCCAAGCACCAAGAAAACAGAGCATCACTTGCCCCAGACCGAGAGTTCCTATAAGAACACAAGAGAAGTCACTGTTGGATCAGGCCAATGCCCCATCCAACACTCTGTGTCACACAGTGGCCAAAAGTACCAGGTGCCATTAGGAGGTCCAGCAGTGGGGCCAGGACACTAGAAGCCCTCTCACTGTTGCCCCCCCCCAAAGCACCAAGAATACAGCATCACTTGCCCCAGACTGAGAGTTCGTATAAGAACATAAGAGAAGCCAATGTTGGATCAGACCAGTGGCCCATTCAGTCCAACACTCTGTCACACAGTGGCCAAAAATACCAGGTGCCCTCAGTAGGTCCAGCAGTGGGGCCAGGACACTAGAAGCCCTCCCACTGTGCCCCCCCCCCAAAAGCACCAAGAATACAGAGCATCCCTTGCCCCAGACAGAGAGTTCCTATAAGATCATAAGAGAAGCCAATGTTGGATCAGGCCAGTGGCCCATCTAGTCCAACACTCTGTGTCACACAGTGGCCAAAAATACCAGGGGCCATCAGGAGGTCCAGCAGTGGGGCCAGGACACTAGAAGCCCTCCCACTGTTGCCTGCCTCAAGCCCCAAGAAGACAGAGCATCCCCTGCCCCAGACAGAGAGTTCCTATAAGAACATAAGAGAAGCCAATGTTGGATCAGGCCAGTGGCCCATCTAGTCCAACACTCCGTGTCACACACTGGCCAAAAATACCAGGAGCCATCAGGAGGTCCAGCAGTGGAGCCAGGACACTAGAAGCCCTCCCACTGCTGCCCCTCCTAAAGCACCAAGAATACAGAGCATCCCTTGCCCCAGACCGAGAGTTCCTATTTATACCTTGTGGCTAATAGCCACTGATGGACTTCTGGCTCCATATGTTTATCCAATTCCCTCTTGAAGCCGTCCATGCTTGTAGCCACCACCACCTCCTGTGGCAGTGAATTCCACGTGTTAATCACTCTTTGAGTGAAGAAGGACTTCCTTTTGTCTGTCCTGACTTCGTGAAGACATCTGCAAATGATGGATTTGTTGCCCACTTGTTTTCTGCATGCCTTAGCAATTATTCCCTGTCCGTGTTTTTCAAGTCCTTTATTCCCATTTTGCAGAGAAGGCGTTTGTTCAACATAACAGTTCTCTAGCTCTAAAATAACATTGTTTCCCTCCCCCCGCCCCAAAGCAAAGACAACTTTGAGGAAACTGCAGCCTTTCTCCCCTCCCTGGGCATTCCTCTAGGACAGCTGTGCTTTAACAGTGGGCTGTTGTTGTTTTTTTGCATAGAGGTTCATAGTAAAAATGTTTCCTGTTCCTCCTCCTCGCAGGGTATGGATGATGATTTTTGTCTCTTTTAGGTCCTGTGTAAAATACTACAAGGAAAACCCCCTAAATGAAATGCACGTGTTCAAGCTACCAGTGAAGCCGTCTTTTGCAACAGACTTATGCCGAAAGTAATTCTAAACCTTCATACTTCAACACATTGGAATCCCAAACAGTGTTCCCTCTAAGCTGAGTTAATGTTAGCTAGCTCACAGTTTTTTAGCCTCCGGCTCACACATTTTTGTCTGAGCTCAGGAAGGGATGGGGCTCCAGAGCAAGCTAATTGACGCAGCAGCCAAATCCGCCCGCTCGCGACGTGACTGCCAGTAGCTCACAAAGCAGAGGTTTTGCTCACAAGACTCCACAGCTTAGAGGGAGCATTGATCCAGAGTGTCAAACCGTTGGGTTGTTGTTGTTGTTGTTGTTCTACAACCATATTCTCCTCGATCATCCTTTCAGTGCCAATCTCGAACTATGGAGAGTGGAAATAAGCAGCGGACGAGGACAAAAAGAAGTGAAAACCATCTGGCAGTTTAGCAGCGACTCTCCGGCAGAACACCTGGACAGGAGCAGGACAGGTGAGGACCTCTGCTTCCGCCTCCTTCAGTCCTTTCTTCTACCCCCCCTCCCCCCATCCCAGCTAGTGACTCTTCCACATTTCTTCTTTTCTTTTCCTGACTTCTGGCCTGACAGTTCCCTGCCCTTCCCCCTACTCCTCACGAAGCTGCCTCATTCTCGGGCTTCTTCACTTTCTCCAACTCAGTATGTCCCAGATGTTAATATGGGCCAGACCGCACAAGACTGAACTGCTCTACCTTTTTGTGGCATGCTCTCCAAATCTGCTGAATAGGTCCAGCCTGCAGAACAGGCAAAAATCCTCAACTTAATCTTGGATTCTTAGTTTTTCCGCTCAATCTTGTTATGCAGCTTGGTTAAAGTCCAGTAACAACCTTGGAGGCCAGCAAGATTTCCAGGGTATAAGCTTTTGAGAGTCTTTAGTTGTTGTAGATTTTCCAGGCTGTATGGCAGTGGTCTTGGCATTGTAGGACCTGACGTTTCGCCAGCAGCTGTGACTGGCACCCTCAGACGTATAACACAGAAAGATGGACATTGACACTGAGAGTACTCCATCTTTCTGTGTTATACCTCTGAGGATGCCAGTCACAGCTGCCGGCGAAACGTCAGGTCCTACGATGCCAAGACCACAGCCATTCAGGCTGGAAAAATCTACAACAACTAATGAACTCCAGCCGTGAAAGCCTTCGACAACATTTTGAGAGTCTGTTTGAAAGTTCAAGATGGCCACGGTGGCTCAGTGGTTAAGACGCTGGGCTGCAGACTGGGAGGTCGGTAGCTCGGCAGTTCGAGTCCTGAGTGCCGCGTGACGGAGTGAGCTCCCGTCTCTGGCCCCAGCTCCTGCCAACCTAGCAGTTCGAAAGCAAGAACGTGCAAGTAGATAAAGAGGAACTGCTTCGGTGGGAAGGTAACAGCATTCCGTGCGCCTCGGCGTTTAGTCATGCCGGCCACGTGACCACAGAAACGTCCCTGGACAGCGCTGGCTCTTTGGCTTTGAAATGGAGATGAGCACCGCCCACTAGAGTCGGGTTCAACTGGCTTTCGAGCAAGGGAAACCTTTACCTTTACCTTAGAAAGTTCAGTTTGACTCTTGAAAGCTCATACCCCTGCTGGTTTCCAAGATGCTGCTGGACTCGAATCCAGCTCTTCTGCTGCAGGCCAACACAGCTACCATCTGAAACCATGTTCACTTCAAATGTTTCTAGGCCTCCTCTCTGCTAATGATATCTGAGACGGCGTACAGTTTCTAAGATATAATGAATATAAATGACAACACGGTATAAAACTCAAGTCAAAACAGGCACTGATGGAAACAAAACAGCAGATATAGAACCAAGGTAGCCCTAAAATCAGCATCCATGAAATGGGAGCACTAAATAAAATCAAGAGAATAAAGCTCGAGTCCAGCGGGCGCCTTTAAGACCAACAAAGTTTTATTCAGGGAAGAAGCTTTCATGTGCGTGCTCATGTAAACTTATACCTTTTTACAGGGCTATTTTTGGGTAGGAACGCACAGGAACGGAGCTCCGGCTGGCTCCCGAGTTGGCCACGCCCAGCAGAAACTCATTAGCATAATAGGCCACACCCAACAGCAGAAACTCATCAGGATTGGCTACATTAGGGGTGTGTGGCCTAACATGCAAAGGAGTTCCTGCTACAAAAAAAGGCCCTGGGTTTTGACAACAAAGTAAACAGAATAAGAAGCAAAAGGTGGGTGTGGCTGGATGACCACACTTCTGGTAACATGGGGGTGTGGCTTGATATGCTAATGAGTTTCTACTGTTGGGTGTGGCCTATTATGCTAATGAGTTCCTGCTGGGCTTTTTCTACCAAAAAAGCCCTGCCTTTTATTTATTTATTTTTTGCTTTTTGCATTTTTCATATGTGCTGTGAGTGTGTGTGCACCTCGAAGTCATGGCGACCTCTGGTGACTGACCCCTACTGGGGGCCTGGAGGATATTCAGAGAGGTGGCTGAATAAAGCCTGCCCCCGCCTCCCGACTGCTGGTATTCCAAGGAGGTCTCCCATTCAAGTACTTGCCAGAGTCGGCCCTGCTTAGCTTCCGAGATCTGACGAGATTGGGCTTGCCTGGGCTATCCGGGTCAGGGCACGTAAGCTCACACCTTGAATAAGACTTCATTGGTCTTCAAGGTGCCACTGGACTCCAACCTTGTTCTGCTTCCGACCAACACGGCTACCCACCTGAATCTAAATAAAACCCAAGTTAGTCATTAATCAGCAAATGAAACCCAACCAAACAGGAATGAAGACCAGTTTAGAATTCCGTTTGAATCAGAGTCTTCTCCTGGCACCAGAAGTGTCCACGAAAGTTACTGGGCGAAGAGTCACGGGGAGGACAATTCCAAAGCTGAATCTCCCACCTCTTCCAAACTTGAGCAGAGGGTGGAGGTGCTGCATCTATGAAACGCTGACAAGAACCTTGTGCGGCTTTCCAAAAAGACAGAGACGGCCCCTGAGAGTGAGAGTCCAGCCAGAGCAGAACGGGGGCCGCTTCCGTTCGGCCGTCCCCAGCGGCAGCGACACACAGTCTCTTTCCTGGTCACGCAAAGGAGTTTCCAGTTAATAGTTTCAGTTTCCCTCTTGTCTGTCCTGTCCCTTCTCTCTGTAGGGAGAGAGATTTCAGTGTTGGGTGGACGCTCAGGTTATTTGTCTGACAAGGTTGAGCCATCTCTTTGTTGGGGCTGAGGCCCTTCCCAGCAGAGGTTCTAAGAAGCCTTGGGAAGTCCTGCCTGCCAAAACGGATGCCAGGGAGGCACCTGTCGCACCAGATGCCCTGCTTTCAGTGGCCAGGAAGAAGGATCCTGTTGCTGCTTTCTCTTGATTCCATGACAACGCCTAGCACAGGGGTGGCCCAACTGTGGCTCGGGAGCCGCACGCGCAGGGCTATTTTTGGGCAGGAGCGCACAGGAATGGAGTTCCGGCTGGCTCCCAAGTTGGCCACGCCCAGCAGGAACTCATTAGCATAATAGGCCACACCCAACAGCAGAAACTCATTAGGACTGGCTACATTAAGGGTGTGTGGCCTAACATGCAAAGGAGTTCCTGCTACGAAAAAAGGCCCTGGGTTTTGACCACAAACAAGGTAAACAGAATGAGAAACAGAAGGTGGGTGTGCTGGATGACCACACTTCTGGCAACATGGGGGTGCGGCCTAATGGGCTAATGAGCTGTGCTGTCAGGGGTGTGGCCTAATATGCCAATGAGTTCCTGCTGTTGGGTGTGTCCTATTATGCTAATGAGTTCCTGCTGGGCTTTATCTACAAAAAGAGCCCTGCGCACGCGGCTCTTTCACACCTATTGTGCGGCTCCCGGCAGGGCGGCTGGAGAAGCTAAATATCATTAGCAAACAAAATAAATATCGTTATCAATATCTGCTTTTGCCACTTTTGTTATTATTTTTGGCAGCCTCGTTGAGTGTTAGTAAAAAGCAAATTTGCATATTTACCAGTAAAAACATGTAATATTTGTTCACGTCTTGTGGCTCTCAAACATCTGGCGTTTATTCTATGTGGCTCTTACGTCAAGCAAGTCTGGCCGCCCCTGGCCTGGCAGATGCCGTAATCGCTTCCTTTGGTCTCGCAGGTCTCCTGGATAGTACGGAAGTATGCGACGACCTGGAGGGGACACACTTTGCTACCTTGGCGGAGTGCAACCAGGTGCATTTCTTCTCGCATTGAAGTAAGACTAATTTAAAGGGCATTATCGTCCTGGTGCAATAAGTCATTCCCAAAATGTGTAGCCGATGTTTGTTTGTTTTTTTTAAAAAACCCTGTACTAAAACATTTTAAAAGTTTGAAGGCAAACTTGTGTAGATGTGAAAAGCCCGGATTATTTTCGTTGAATAGGTTTAGGGAACCTTGCGGGCAGTGTTCCCTCTAAGCTGAGTTGGTGTGAGCTAGCTCATAGTTTTGTAGCCTCCGGCTCACACATTTTTGTCTTCGCCCAGAAAGGATGGGGCTCCAGAGCAAACTGATTCATGCAGTAGCCAAGTCGCTTGATCACAACTTTAATGCCAGTAGCTCACAGAGTAGAATTTTGGCTCACAGGACACTACAGCTTAGAGGGAACATTGCAGTTGCGGGCGACGCTTGCAAGATGAAGGAACAGCGTGCGAGTTGGAGACGCTTGTTACGGACGCTTCCTGAGGAGAAGGAGCAGTAGAATGGCGCAGATGAGAATGCAGAGGGTGAAAACGGTTGGCACGACAATCTCGGTCACCATTTCCATGTGCGAGGCCAAAGGCTCTGCGGGGGGGTGGGGGGAGACACAGAGAGAGAGAGAGCGCCAGATCAGAGCGGATCTCTGCAACATCGACGACTGCGTATTTTATTGTTTCTGGCTGTGCTGTAAGTCAATGCCAGTGTTCCCTCTAAGCTGAGGTAGTGTGAGCCAGCTCCCAGGTTTTTTAGCCTCCGGCTCACACATTTTTGTCTTCGCTCAGGAAGGGGAGGGCTCCAGAGCAAACTGATTTACACGCCAGCCAAATCGCTCGCTCACAACTTTAATGCCCGGTAGCTCACAAAGTAGGATTTTTGCTCACGAGACTCGATGGCTTAGAGGGAGCATTGGTCAGTGCCCACAGCTCCCCAAAGCATGTCGAAAGCCAAGTTTGTACAGCCCTACATTTTTGTCTCGGGGGGTGGGCGGGGCGGGGCAGCGTGCAGTAAAAAAATCTATTAAAGCGCGTGCGTGCTCAAAGGGTGACGAAAAACAGTTGGCGCTTACCATGAATTAGCCTGAGCATTTTAGCAGCAGTTTTCCGCTGTTCTTCTGGTTTTTCAAGGGAGGGAAAAGAGAACTGTCAAAAGCACTCTTTGGAAAGCACTAGCCCCTTGAGCGGCTTGGCATCCCTGCCACGTGTGGGATGCCTAGCAGTTGCCCCTGAGTGGCCAACTGTACCCACCCTTTCCCTCATTGCTTGCACTATCCTGGGAAAGGCGTGCCGTGTCTCTAAAGGGAGACTCAATGCACTTCTGCCTGTGTCCCTTAAGCCTCCAGGAGGGTGGTGCTTTGCATATGTCCACATCCACCACAGCCCGGTATATGGGCTAGGGTTGGGGGTTGACTGCTGAAGATCACTGGGTGACCCTGAGTCCACCTCACAGGGTTGTTGGGAAGATAAAATGCAAGGGGGGGGGGAAGTACCCTGTGTGTTTCTCGGAGCAAGATGGGGAGAATCCAGATACGCTGAAACAACTCTTGAAGACTTCTGCAGAAACAGGAAACAGGTGAGGGGCCTCCTGTTTGGCAAACGGCATTGCAAAGCCGAAGGTAGCC